CAAATTTGAGAACATTTTTTCGCTTTCGCGGCAAAAATCAGTCAAGAATCTGTTATATCGGGATTAGTGGGAGAGGTCTTTTTTTTGCGCGTCTGGGGAAGGACTGGAGTAGTGGTGGTTATACTTTTTTATACGGAGTTCATTCTGTGCATGTTGCTGTTGCAGAATTTCATGACTCTGTCATAAATTTGTCTTGCCTTTCAGATATTTCAGATTTCCCCACCCTCGATCAGATTTATTTGAGAAATGTAGCCATGCGCCAGGTGCGTGTCGCAGATGTTTTTGTTGATTCTGTGTTTATAATGGTTTATAATCATGGGTTATCGTGATAACGTCATCCACCATCATATTGCACTGAAATCGTAATCCTGTTGATGTCAATACAACTTTGGAAGTAGTTCAATGACTTCAAACTGTTAGTCCGCGATTTTCTAAAACAACACAGCAAAGGAGGAACAATAAACATGTATTAAAATGTAAACAAATACATTGCCGAGTCCGACACCTCGTTCCAACAACTACACTGATCCTGAGGATAAAAGGGTCAAGGCTATGGTTGGAGATACTGATACTGAGAGATAAACAAGGCACTCCTTGATAATAAAATCTTACACATCTTTTGGTGAGCATGAATGATATCCAGTCGAACCTCTTGACGACGAACACCAAGGGACCGATGGTATTTATTCTGTGAGTTTGTCTTAACCTATTTTATAACGAGTGAATACAATTATTTCTCCAATAGACATACGAATAGATTTCTTCTACAGCGAAAGATTCTAAGCCACACCGACTCATTGACTCATCTCGTATGAAACAAAAGAGTCACTAGAGAGGTTCTGCAAAACGAAAATGCGTACAAACATCATGAAGTGCGAAACTTCGCACGAACTTTCGCAACTTTGGAAGCGAAACTTGCAGGGAACACGAAATGAACTGTCGTAGGAAATTTCGTGAGATCGGGTCATGGCGTACGTGCACTTGGCCCGCGCAAACTACGAAAATGTGCAGAACGCAAAGTTCGTGCAAAAATTCGTACACATTTTCACAAGGACTGTCGCGATACTTCGTTCGAATTTTCGTTTTGCAGAACCTCTCTACTGAACCTTTCTTTAGCAACATGACGGCAACTGAAACAGCAACAGAGAAAGTACGACACATGTACTGCACATTCTTGCAGGTACTACAGGTACTACAAACAGATTGCAGATCGTAATTCTTGCTTTGGCGGCACGAAACTTTATTTGGGGCAGTGCAATCTCGGCGGTACTCACAAATCAAACTGCCCGGACTCGAGTAAACAAATGCAATCATACAAGTACGAGATTTTCACGAGACAAGACTGCACCCATTGGCTTGTTTCGTATGTAGCAAAGAAGTTACTGAACCTCTCCACAATGGAGATTTTCCCTGATATGCGAATTTATTTGGCAAACTCGGTCAATGAGTCCTTGAACCTTTCCCTCCAGATTGGGAACTGCCAACGATAGTATGCCACTGACCAGTGCCTTACTTGTAACGTACTAATGTGCAATGAATATGAGTATTTCGACAACACATCTAACATAAGCCTTACCGTCAAGAAGGTGAACTCGCGTTCTTCGCACACTGTAGGCAAGGGCAAAAAGATAAAAATGGATCTAAATCCGAATAAAATCAGCACACGTTTCCGTAAATGAAAGGGTGAGCATAAGCAAATGAATCGAAGGAAACTGGTCAACTCAGAGATCACCTGTCATTGAGTATTCCGTAAAAGGAGGCCTCGGCAGCGGAAAAGCTAAATTTAGAAAGGAGATCCTGTCAGCTTTTCCATTATATATTTCATTCCGCCCAAAATCAGCACACTTTTCGTAAATGTAAGAGTCAACACAAGCAAATGAATCAAAGTGAACTGGTCAACTCACCTGTCATTGAGTAATATTCCGCGAAAGGAGGTCTCAGCAGCGCCGAAACGAAATAAGCCAGGCCAGGAGACGAAATATCCGAAACAGCTCATGCAAGAAGCAGTTCCAAAGAAGGAAGTTCCTCGTGCACGCACATCCGAAAAGGCAACAACAAAAAGTCTGCAATGCACACGCATGCGGCCAGCCGGCCGCGCGATGGTAGGAGCCATGGAGTAGCTCCGGGGTCCAGGACCAGGTACCGAGCATCTTACGTAGAAACTTACGTAGCTACGTAGACAACGTGTCTGAATAGCGGTGTCGTTAGGTAGCGCCATGTGAACACAATAATAGGGAGGTTCTGCTATACGTGAAACGTAGAGAAATCACGTAGAGAGCAGGTGTTTGGGTTAGAGTCTGCGGCTTCGCGTGTTTTGGCTCCAGATTTCTACGCGGAGATGGGGTTCTCTACGTTGTGGCACACGCAGAGAAAATGCGTACGGATTTGCTGGGTATCGATCAACTGCATGCAGAAAACTGCCAAATATGGAAGGGGAAATTCCCAGTGCACATTCCACGTGACTTCTCTAGGTGAAACGTAGAGCAGAACAGGATTTCTTTACGTTACGGGAACGCGAAGAAAGTTCGCGTGATTCTTTGCGTCGCGTTCCCAAAACGTAGAGCAGAACCTCCCTACTAGAAAAGCTGACAGGATCGCTTTTCTAAATGTTGCGAGAGTTTGCGGAAGGAGTCCAAGTCGGGAAATCCATCAGCTCCAAAAGCTACCTGTAGGTGGGCGATGAGAGTCCAGCTTCAGACTACAACAGTCAGGACTTGTAAATAGTTGAACTTTGTGAAGCGGCAGATCGAGTTAGTTAGCTGAAATCGTAGCCTGTTGCAGTATGTCGGCGCTATGTAGCTTGCATTTTTTACGGAGAGTCCATCGCCACGCGAATGTTTCTCTCCTCACCGAGAGCTTGCTGGCCTCCAAACTCCGTCAGGGTCTGCCTAAGGTACCGAAAGTCCTTTGACTAGCTGCTGGCAGGACTCCATCAAATCCTTTAGCTTCAGCTCGGCGAGCAAAAGTCTCTCTCTCCTCCGCCATGAGCTGACACACACAAACTGAATACAAAACGATGCACTTCACACGTGCTGGCTTGCCCGCGTGCCCCGTTTCACGAACCCAGACAATCTTTTCGGGATATTGGTCTATTGCATGCATGTATCATACGTCAAAACGCAGGGTTTTTCCGTGTCGACCCAAGTATTTGGTGCATGGCTTTATATTCTCAACTGTTCTCCAGGAATATACACAGTGCTAGTGATAAAGTAAAACAGAGAACATTTTCAGATGTACTCTTGCACACACACGCACACACACACACCTGAAAATTGGCAGGACACTACTCCTTGCTAAAATAAGAAAGTATGGTTGACTGCTTAGCCGTTGTCTCCTGGACAACATTGACCCTCTTGAGAAGGCCACGCAAGCAGTCGACATCATGCAGGTCGAACGTTATAGTTAGTTGTAGAACGTCAGTACCGTCGGTCAGTGTCGTGCAATGTTATCGCATGAGCTGATTGTTTAGTAACTGGTAGTGTTAGTGGACAGTATAGCGTAACTTGTAGTTCCTTGGTCTTTCTCTTTGTATAAATAGAGTCAGGGTTCGGAAAAGTCCTAACCAGGGAGTAGTACGTATTGTACTACTCCCTGGTCTTAACAACCAACCGAACTGAACTCTCCCGCGCGAGGTCGAGTACAATTGTCAACTGAACTGAACTCTGAAGTGGCCCCGCGCGCGCGGCACTGACCAGACTGGCCTAGCCTGGCCTGGCAAGGAGTGCACCTTTACGACTGCCGGATTAGGAAATCAAACTACGTGCAGTTTGAGCGATTCGTTTCAAAAAGTCACTGCCGGAGGCGGAATTCAAGTGCCGGATTAAGATGTAGGAATTGAACGAAAAAAATCGGTTTCGTCAGAAAGTGCGCCGGTTGGCAAGGGTTCCGGATAAACAAGTGCCGGATTAGAGAGGGACGACTGTATTTGACTGCTTAGGCCAAAGTTAGGGTTGCGCAGTTGAACGGTGCCTAGTGCAGCATTTTCGGTGGTGCAACGATTGTGCAATCATAAAACCGGGATTCATGAGGTTATCGTTCTGGAATTTGAAATACGGACTGTTTGTCGTGATAAATCTAATACAGTCGTCCCTCTCTAATCCGGCACCTTTTGCTACGGCATTTTCTGCTGGATTAACGAGGGTGCTGGATTAAGAAACCCTGCCCTTTGACCCGGCCCTACCCAATTACATGCATGTATCATACGTCAAAACGCAGGGTTTGTCCGTGTCGACCCCAGTATTTGGTGCACGGCTTTATATTCTCAACTTTTCTCCAGGAATATACACAGTGATAAAGTAAAACAGAGAACATGTTCACATGTATACGTACTCTTGCACACACACGCACAGTCGATTTACGACTAGTAGTAGTAGAATTTATTATTTTACTAGGGAACTCCCAACAGGCGTTGCCTTTTTACTGGGAACCCTAGGACTGCCGGATTATGAAATCAAACTACGTGCAGTTTGAGCGATTCGTTTCAAAAAGTCACTGCCAGAGGCGGAATTCAAGTGCCGGATTAAGATGTAGGAATTGAACGAAAAAAATCGGTTTCATCAGAAGTGCGCCGGTTGGCAAGGGTTCCGGATAAACAAGTGCCGGATTAGAGAGGGACGACTGTATTGACTTCGTACTTGGTCAGTATGAAATAAAAGACCTCGTAAAAGACCTCGGCTTCGCCTCGGTCTTTTACTCGGCTTTTATTTCCTATATTGACCTCGTACTCAGTCAATATAATTATTAGATACGTACATGTACATGTATTTGTGGCATTTGCCGGTGTTACATCATACATGATCGTTGAGTTCGCAGGCCTCCTATCGATCCTCGAGCTCGTGCATATGCAGGCGATCGATTGTCATGATCCATTTGAGCTCATGAGCTAGCTGCATTTGCGCATATGCATGCGAGCTATCTAGCATAGCTAGCATATCATATCACTGATGTAGATGTCCACGTGCACATGCCGTGATAGCTCGCATACACGAGCTAGCTAGCTCGACGAAGCTAGGCCTGCTTCTTTTTCCTTTTTTTAGAGAATGTTACGCTATTAATTCCGTATTCGTAATCAGGTTAGCCACTACCGCTGCTTAGTGCAACTGTCGCTTCAGCTCAGATCTTCCAGGGCCGTGAGCTCCAGTCCAGAGCTGCTTACATGTCTCAGCGGGCTTGCTGGTATTCCTTCTACCTGGAGGACTACAGAGGATGATGACGAGCCCAATGAACTGATAGTGATACTGTGATTGCAATACAATACTTTTATCATAATAATACGATAGAACAGTCCGCAATGGTGAAGTGTTGTGGCGGAGAGCTAGAGCCGGGTCGGCTCCGTAAATCGGCTCTAGTCGCGCTCAAGTTGCTACACGTATTTGTGGCATTTGCCGGTGTTACGGGCGTGATCGTTGAGTTCGCTAGGCCGCCACCATTTTTCGACTCCTTCTTCGAAGGGCACGATGACCTACCGGACATCACTGATGTATTTCGCCACGTGAGTAAAAAAAACACAAAAAAACATCCAGCCTAACCATGTGTTAGAAACCATACGGTCATGTGACTCACAATCGTTTTCTTGAATGGCAAACGGACCAGCAATCAGTAAGGCCCTCTTCAGACTAGGTACAAAACAGCCTATAAGTCACATTTACATAGAAGTTTCCAAGACAACAACAAGAATCTGGCGGGAAGCCTAAAAAGCTGCCCAATCCTTTCAGGCAGGGTGCCAACCCTTGTACAAGGCAACTTTCCTGCATTTATCGTACTTTCACCAGGCAGTTGTACGAACTTTGTACCCGGGTACGACTGTCCAATGCTTCCACACATCCCAGGCCCCTTGCGCAATTTCGTAGGGTCAAAGGTTGCCTGTAAATTGCATGTAAAATGTGTAGTCTGAATGCAGGCATGGAAAAATGTTGCCTTTTAGGTTTTATGTGATTTTGTACTGGATTTTCTATGTACGTAGTCTGATGAGGGCCTAAGGCCGCAACCACACTACGTAAAAATCACAGTACAAATTTTCATGCATATCTCAGTACAAGTCGGTAAGCAACCACACTACACTTTTCGGTCTGCATACATGTAGATGACGTTTTCGCGCGACCAGCACGTGACGTTGTCGTACCAAAGCGTGCGCTGGAAAAGACCGGGAAATTCAAAACCAATGCTGATGCTGATGCTATGTACGACAACCAGGTACAAAAACAAAGTTGTACACAGGAGATGGAGCGCGAAAACGACGAAAACGACAAATGTGGCTTTCTACAGGGGTGCGCCAGTTGCTGAAAACCTACAAAGCGCATTTTGCATTTCGCACGCGTCGGCATGACGATTTCTACTGTAATGCCGTTTGTACGTGATTTTGTACCTAGTGTGGTTGCAGCCTAAATGAACCAGATCACAACATTCTATGCATTCACAAGCGGAAGCTGATCAATAAAATCTAACATCTGACCCCATGCGGGCCATGGCAGTAGTACATGCAGTAGTACCAGTAGGCCTAGGGGTGAGTGGATTCGTACAGTACTACTGTAGTACAGTGCTCAATGACATCATCGCCTAGTGGATTCGATATTCGTACAGTACTACTACTGTAGTACAGTGCTCAATGACATCATCGCCTAGTGGATTCGTACAATACTGTACTACTGTAGTACAGTGCTCAATGACATCATCGCCTAGTGGATTCGTACAATACTGTACTACTGTAGTACAGTGCTCAATGACATCATCGCCTAGTGGATTCGTACAATACTGTACTACTGTAGTACAGTGCTCAATGACATCATCGCGGAACTCAAGTTTGCGCCTTGCACCGTCTCGCAGACCGGTGTTCGCAGGTCTAGGGCTGCGCGCAACACCCGGCGCGTATTTGAGAAACTCGACTGGATTTCATTGAGCGGCACTGTAGTTTGACAGACCCACCAAACGAGTCAGTACAAGACCTAAACCCCGTTTGCATGCTGCGTCCATGTATCGTTACCCCGACTATCGTATCAGGCCTCGGGTACCCGATCTGGGCAGGGCTGTTTCGCACCCGGAAAAAATCTATTCCGCTTCCAAGCAGTATCTGAATCTTCTCTATTTCCCAGTCACGGTGCACTGTATTTTCAAGCCGAAGTAAAATAGTGCACACTACAGTCCATTCAGAAAAGGTTGATATCCTAGCTTTTGGCCATAAACGGGTCAAATTTTGAGTTTTCGTCTGCTTTTTTTGGCAATCCCCCATGGAATGCTCTTCCAATTGTGTTTTTGAAGTGTATTTCTCCAAAAAGCAAGCCATAACAAGACTAGGATTTCAGCTTTCTGCTTTGTCCCCAAAGCACTGAATTGGGTAAAAACCATGAAAATCCAGGCCGTTTACTCCACTTGCATAACAGTACATTTGCGGTTTGAACCCCAGTTGAGGTGCCTTTTTGGACCCTTTTCAAGTTTCGAATCGTGCGGCACTGCACAGTGAAACACAAAATCGCCAAACACGGGAGCTCTCCAGAGCCAGAGCTCAACCTTTTCTGAATGGACTGTAGCCCTTTAGACCAAGTCATAGACCTACAATTCTGTGTCAATATTTATACTATACCAACTACTATAATTATACTGATGAGGCCGTTATGGCCGAAACAGCTTGCTGTCTACAGCATTGGGTACTACTATAATTATGTATCGGGGGGGGGGGGGGGGGGGGGTAGTGCCTGCGTGTGATCTGCACTACCCGTGGATGCTGTCGGGTGTTGCGTGTCTGTGACAGTGTGCGACATGTGTGTGCTCCCTTTAGCTCCGCTCATTGATACAGTCGGGCATGCATGTATTCATGCTTTGTAGCCAACATGTCATACAGTCAACTTTGCTAATAACGACGACTGTGGATATCACGACAATTCACGACTCGAATAACGACAGAATTTCCATGCCCAAAGCAAAGTCCCATCCACCTGTAATACATGTACATGTAACGAGACTTCGGGTATAAGGACACTTCGCGAATACGGACACTTTCCTGATGCCCCGCCGAGTGTCGTTATACGCGAAGTTGACTGTATATGTGTTCAGATGTCTGTCTGTCAGTGTTTGTCCTACCATACGTGTGTCCCCCGGTACGCAAGTTTTGTGCTTACGGACGCAACCTTTATGGACCAACCCTGCCCCATCGAGGTTTGATCATTTTGGTCGAAATATTCGGCTGTAAATTTAAAAGGTGTCAGCAAGTTAGAAATCAGCATGTAAACATTGTAAATTTGTAAGCAAGTCAGAAACTGCCTAGGAAATTCCATGGTGTTTGTGTGTATGCTGTTGTGCTGCCTATTTGTCTTTTGCAGATCAATCCTGTCATGCATGACCAGGTAAGACCACAGTAAGCTCAAAGAACACACAGCCATGCATGATGTAATCATACTCGTGATGCAATCACAAGCTTGATGAATGGTGCAATCACAATGATGAATGATGTACTACGTAGTAATAGCAAAAAAACCATCCTGATGTAATCACTGGCATGATGTAATCACTGTCATGATGTAATCACTGGCATGATGTAATCACTGTCATGATGTAATCACTGGCATGATGTAATCACTGGCATGATGTAATCACTGGCATGATGTAATCACAACCATACGCTTTCTATGCTGAAGCAGTACACAGGACCCGTCCTGTGTTATTATTTTAATTAACGTTATTCTTTACTGTCCTGTATCGATGCACCTTGATGCACCTTATCACGTGATCTGATTAGAGATGTACAAGTATCAGCATCCAGTCACTCTGAAATGTCTGTGTGTAGTGTGTGTGTGTGTGTGTGTGTGTGTACGTGTGTGTTTGCGCACGCGCGCGCGCGCGCGCGCACGCGCGCGTGTGTGTGTGTGTGTGTGTGTGTGTGTGTGTGTGTGTTTGTATGCATGTGGCATTTTCCGAAGGGCAGACTAATGACACCGATTGTTCAAATTCTGGTGTACATACTAGTACATCGTAGCTGTCTTTATGTACATACTAGTAGTGTATCTGCCTCTGTGTGTGCCACTTCAGACCTCGCAAATCCGGCAGCTTATGGACGTACCTGTTCTATTTGTTGGATTGGTAAGTTTCTAGCTTACAGTTACATGCAACTTCCTTTTCTTCTCCATCCTCATCACTATCCCTGATCATGGACTCTCGATAATGACAAATATTTAACTCGGATACTGAGTCAGTAAAATAGAATCAGATGGATACCAGGCATGTATTGATTCAGAGTTTTGCCAGCTGGCCGGGAACCACTTTGAATGTACCCCAGACGTTGGCCCCGACCAACATCATGCAGTGCACGAGTGTTCCACATCCGGCCTAGAGGTTGTGAGTTCAGCTATTTGCTTGACTGGCACAGTGGGAGGCTACCGGTGTGATCTTGCTAGGAATAACAATCACTGTCATTGTGTGTGTCGCCTGCATGTCCTCTTTCTCCCTGCCGGTAGCTGTACGTTGGTGCTGTGCTGTACCTTCGATTCAACTTTGAAGCTTGGCTGCTGACCGGCGTGTGCTTTCTGAACTACCTCCTCTATTTCACGGTGAACTCCTGGGCCAAGTCCTACTTTGAGTGGCGGTAAGTTGACCCCATTTCACTTCCCTTTCACCCCATCCACCCCTCCTGGAGCCCCCCCCCCCTGATAACTATCCATTTACTTTTGGAGAATACTTCAAATAAAACGGTCTGAACTAATGAATGAAGTATGAGGCTTGGGCATTTTTTGATGTGTGTACAACTGGGTTGCCACACCTGCCGACATGTCAGTAGCCTGCTGATTTTTGAGGCCTGTCATGATGAGGCTGCCGACAATTGACCTTCTCCTGCCGACAACAGCCATGGAAGTGTCCAAGTTTGACCTTGTGCTTGGTTTTGAAGTCCCCACTTCCATCCCATATGCCACCGCCCCCGCTGTACAGCATCTGATGGTTCTGTGATATTCAGAAAAAAAGAAGAAGAAAAATGATCCAGATTTTGGTTTTTACTGCTCATCACGAGTGTTTCCGTAGCTCATTCCTTAGGTGCTTAGCGAATCATCAGCTGTCTGGGAAATACAGAAAACTCAGCCTGAGTCTCACGCAAAGCCGTGAAAGGTTTTCTTAACAGTTCCGAGTGCGCGTGTGCGTATGTATTGGGGTTACCCTGAAGGGAGGGGGGGGGGGGAGGGGTCCGGGGGCAAAGCCCCCGGCTGATGCATTTTTATTTTTTCCATCCTCCTGATATTTGGCTATAATGATGTGGCAACACTGGTACAAGTATGCAGTTCCGATTGAGATGGTTTGCTGCTGGTCGAGGCGCTTGAGTCCGATG